GGGGGGGGGGGGGGGGGGGACATTGCCGAGAGAAATCACCAAGGGCGATGTTCCTCCGGACCCTAAGCACCAGCACTGAGAATTCCTCGCAGTGCGGGAAACCCGACCCGGTGAGTGCTGCCTCCGCATGTGCGAGACCCAGGCACCAGATGCAGAACTCGTGAGTGTCCGGGGCCTCGATGGGTCCCGAACACAGCATGCAAACGTTGGACATGCTGGAACGCCGAGAGGGAAATCCGGCTTTCTGCGTTTTCTCCACAGCTGTCCTTGATAGGATGTGTGAAAGAGGAAGATTCTGAGCTTATGCCGCCAATACGGCGCATTATATAGTGGCGGGGGCCCCGCCCCTATTCGCCGTCTTGGCTGGCATTGGCCAGTGAGAGTTGCAACTTCACTGGCGTTGTGCAATAAGATTTCAGGTAGGTTAGGAAGGAAGGGAGTCCCCAAGGCGTTAACACCATGTCGAGAGACCGTTCTCGAGAGGGAACCACACGTGTGCTTAAGGTCATCCATTCATTGTTGGCTGGCATTGGCCAGTGAGAATTGCAACTTCACTGGCGTTGTGAAATAAGATTTCAGGTAGGTTAGGAAGGAAGGGAGTCCCCAAGGCGTTAACGCCATGTCGAGAGACCGTTCTCGAAGAGGGAACTGATGGTTTTTATTGCCACGGCCCATGGGGCTGTTTGTACTTTAAGATACGGTATGCAGCATTATACCAAAGTTAAAACAAGTCTATTGAATTTAATTTTACTTGCAAATAATCCTCATAAGGTTCAGTATATATAAATGTTCTACCCAAGATGATTTATAACAGCTGTGCTCATTTATTGCATGCAAATGCTGTTTCACTGTGCTTACCCATTCTGGATATTTCTGGACCTGGTCATTATGAGTGAAAAGCACACTTACTGCTTATAGACCGCATACATATTAACAGTGATTGTAAGCAGCCAACTACACACTTTCCAAAAAGATCAAAAGTGATTTGTAAACAACAACAACAACAATAATAATAATAATAATCATCAGGTTTTATTACCAATGTAATTATAATAAGACTGCTTAGAGGTTGAAACAATAATAAATACAAATATTTCAAGAAAATGTTACAGATGGTCTCATAAATATAAAAAAAAAGAGGCTATGGCTTAGATCATGATCAAAATCAGTCATGAATGTGTCTTGCTATAGTAGAAACATTCTTTATATTTAACATTGAATGCACACCACATTAAAGTCACAAAGCCCTGCTGATCTCTGATGACAATACACGCTCATCATCATAACCTATACCTAAAGAATATGGTATTCTGTGGGAAAATGGTGGCCTTTTTTTCTACTCTGCTGGGAGACTGCAATGTTTACTGTGTGAGGAGAAGAAAGTGTTCTTTAAGCCGAGTCGGCGTACTTAAGGCTAATGAATGTTTATTTGTGCTTTATTGCCCTTTAGAGCTAAAATTCCTTACTTCTTTGATGTAAACAAAAATAAACAGAATATTCTATTGGCGTTTCCCTGCAAATTTTCCATGGGTACACAGTAACACACGCTCTGAATATACACAATGTAAAAGGGGGAGTGGGTGCTCCATAGGGTCAAAAAAGTCCCAAAAAGTCTGTTGCAGGACAGTTACAGTTAAGAAATTTTGGAGTCAAATTAATCAAATCTTCTATAATCATGAAGTACATTATGTAAATATTATGGGTTACACATAATTGTATATGTATTTCACATAGTATTTATCATATTCTCAGTCCTCTAAATAGCTTTCAGTGAGCACAGCTTGTTTTACTGAAATAATCAAGAAGCAATCTCAAGTTCAGTGTACAGCCTCCATATATGACTCAGCCATCAGCCTGAGCAACATCCATCCTTGTTTTACTTTTTTACACAACTGCCCAATGTGGCTGCTCCAAAAAATGCACATCCCTCTTCCTCAGATTTTTTTTTTCTGCCATTGAAAATCCCCCTTCTCCAACACTCCCTGTCCCCCAACCTACACCCTCTCCCACTATATCGCGAGAGACTGATTGGGACAGCAGGCAGAGAAATATTCATATACCTGCAACAAGAGCAGTTGCAAAGCTCTTATGAATAAATAGATACCATATAATTCATGAATAGGTTTAGCATCAACAGGGGACAGCTAGACGGAGAGGAATGCATATTAATCGGAATACTGGCAGACACACTAGCAATACAGCCAGCTAGCTGACCAGCAGCTCAAACTTGATCATTTATTAGCAGTGCTGGGTTAGCTAGTTAGCACCAGGCTAGTTCAATATACATTTGCCCTGAATCTTTTTCGGATTTCACTCACGCCAGCGAACAAATTGCGTCTTTTGTGCAAAAAGGTGAGTTAATTTGACATTTTGTTTCTATTGCATGATATCGTTAGCAAACTGCGTTTTCATGAGCTAAAGTTAACTGGCTAGCCCGAGTTAGCTTGGTGTGTTGACATTATAAGCGTGAGAGCTTATTGTGACAATTAAACTTATTTCAGGCAGCTAGTTAGGCGAAGCGCGTTGTTAGGCCTTGTGTGGTTTCCCATATCGCTTAATTTTATTGTAACTACAATCCACAGGCATTTAAGCTTGGTGTGTTTTTCTTTACAGCTACGTTAACTGCACCGTCCTCGCGTTACACACTGGCCTGAAGATGGTGAGTTATCACTGGAGCTTATGCGCATCATTACAGCATCTTCCGCTTATGTAAATCGTCTTAACTGGTTTCATATCAATGTCTCGGTTTCGATTAGCTTTGGTTCAAATGCTCAAGAAGCTCCAGTTGTTGGTTGTATGTGGCTCTATAATAATATAAATGAGAAATTAGCGCTCAGCAAGTTCTTAAGATATCAGGTGTATTGAGTCTCACAGCTCAAAGCAAAACAACGCTTTCATCAACATCGTTCATGTATGACACTTAAAGCGTATACATTTCACATTTGCAGCATTGGAAGTGCTGCAAAGCTTGTGCTTAGACTGATAATGTTCATGAAATGCTTAGTGGTAATTGTTAAAGCCAATTTTCCTTTTGTGACTTTTACTTTTGTAGGAAATATTTGTGCTGAAACAAAACAGAATCTAGACTTAAACATCCTGATTTATACGATTTGATATGATTTATCCTCATTTATATTCTACAGAAATTTACGTTACTATGCTGTTAATGCATAATCTAAAAGGGCTGCGTTTCCTAAAAGCATCGTTGGCCTAAGTTGATCGTAGCTGCATTGATTGACAATGGTTCTATGGTTAACTTTGGCTTACGATGCTTTTTGGAAACGCTGCCCTTTTAGATTATGCATTAACAGCATAGTAACGTAAATTTCTGTAGAATATAAATGAGCACGTTTCATTTGTTTACATGGCAAGAGTCGCATTGGGTCAAGAGAGATGTACTTTCAAGTTATCATTTATTACATATACTTTGTGTTTTTATAGATAGATATAAAGATAGATTCCAAACCTGTATGACTTTCTGTGGAATACAAAAAGTAAAGCAGAAAGATAGCCTCAGTCTCCATTCACTTTCATTGCATTATTTTTATATCCGAGAAAAGTTGTCATTCTGCCATATATCTCCTCATTCAGGTTTGTAACACCATGATGACTTTTCATTTTTGGTTGAACAATCCCTTTAACTGTAATATTGTTATAATTTCTGTTTTAAATAATTTTTTGTTAAGACCACATTGTTATTTATTACTAGTTCTTTTTTGTTGTTGTTGAAAACAATATTAATTTATCTATTTCTCTCTTTATTTGACATTTAGGTCACAAATCCCTACCACAGGATCCTCGCAGAGCCTTAAAACCGGAGATCACCTGAGAACTACCATCAGCTCATCCTGCTGCTCATGACATAATTCAGTGTTACTCCCCATACACACGTTTACACCTTTTGTGTAGAATGTGAACTATTTTAGAGTCAAATCATTTTCTTTAAATGGGGGGAAACAATTATCAGTCATTTTCAGGCCACATTTTTCGGTCAGGTTTTCCAAATTCATGTCTATTGTAAAAGCGTAGCCTGATGAGCAGATCGAGCGCCCCCCATACGCATGTTGTTCGCAACGATCCTGACATCTTTGAGGATCGGTTGGTCTTAAATTGATCACTTATTAGTCAGTCATGAACGGCTCCCTCTTAACCCCGCCCAGTCTGCGGGCTGCGGCTAATTCGTCTCCCCTTCCGCCCTCCCCGTCTCCATCGCCTTCTCCTCCATCTCCATCACTGTTGCCACTCTCCACAAGACCCCCACCACTGCCTCCTCCAACTCCTGCCAGTCAGCCCTTGTCATCGTTATCCGACACACCAACACCATCTCCGTCTCCCTGCCTTAGCTGGACCGAGTTCTGTGAGCTCCACGCCCGAGTAGCTGCCGGTGACTTCGCCCGGCATTTCCGGGCCTTCTTGCAGGAGAACCCTCATTACTCCCCTGATTCGGCCACTGCTTTTTGCCGCCGCTTTACAGACAGATTCGTTCGACATTTCGAGAGCGAGCTCGAGGGGACCGTTGTTGGTAGGGAAGGAACGGTGAGCTGGGTCGCCCAATCTGATGTTACGTCGCTGGAGGAGGATGCAGCATCTCCGTCCCTGCTGCCGCCAGAAGCCTCCACCCCATGCCCGCCTACTCACACGCAGGCTGTGCCCAAACCGGCCTTGACCCAGGAGGGCCGCGGCTCGGAGCGATTCCAGAGCGCCGGAACATTTCAGGACTCGTATGCTCATACTCAGATTCTCCCACCGTCCTCCTCTTCGTCATGCTCTTCCTCTATGGGCGGGAATAATGGGCGGAGGGAGGACAGGGGAATAGCGGTCAAACATAACCAACCTGGATATAAAGACCTGGAAGAAGAGGAAGACAGCTGGGTGGGGCCTGTCGCCGGAGAGGAGGTGGAGACGGATGTAGTAGCAAGGGACAATGAGGGCGAGGGTGATACGGCCTCGGAAAGAGCCGATCTCAGCCAAACTCCGACATGCCCCAATCCTTCTGGCACACCAGCAAACTCTGGGTCAAAAGGCAATGGGACACCCATTGGGGGTCACTCGAAGAATAAACTAAAAAAGCGGTTCTCTTTGCGCAGTGTGGGCCGCAGCGTCCGAGGGAGCGTGCGAGGCATCTTGCACTGGCGCAGCTCCTCCAGTGACGCCCCTCAGAACTGCAGCTCGGGTAATTCCGCCCAACTTCCTTCCAGTTACAGCTACACTACAGGCTTGCAAGACGGCAAGAGGAACTCTGGCTCGCAGGGCGTTCCTGCGTCTCTCCCTGTCTCTCTCTCCCTTCCCCTCTCTCTCCCTCACTCGTCGTCCTCTTCATTGCCCCCATCATCCTCCAGTAGCGCCACCTCCCTCTCGCTCTCCGAGGCCCGTGACTGGCGGAGAAGCAACGGCAATGGGGAGAAGGAGAAATGGAGTCACCGGTTGGAGAAACTGCGACTGTCCCGCTCACCGCCGCTGACTCTGTCCACCGCAGCTCCACCTTCCTCGGCTGTGTCGCCTTCGGCGCTACCACCGAGCAGCATCGGTGCCCCAAGGAAGATGGGCAGGCTGGTACGGGAGGGAGGTGTGACCGTGTGCTCGTCTTCGGACGAGTTTGCCAGCACTCATGGTTTCCCGGGATTTTCCTTTGGACTGCTGCACCACAGCACGGACAGCACAGCGTCGGGACATCCCACGCCCATGGGAGGAGCTGCAGGCGGAAGGGGGATGCGTTGGCACAAGTGCCGTCTAGTTCTGAAAGAACGAGATAAGGACGGAGGGGATGGAGGGCTGGAGTATTTCCTGGAGTTTTACATCCCACCTAAGGTGAGTGAGATGATTTCTGCTCTTATGTAAATTGTGTGGAAGTTTCTATTTACACCACCATTGTTCATAAGTTTGAGGTCGGTGTGATGTTTTAATGTTTTTGAAAGAAGTCTCGAAGGCTGCATTTATTTGATTAAAAATACAATAAAACGCTAATATTGTGAGATATTATTATACTTTAAAGCAGGGGTGCCCAAACTCGGTCCTGGAGGGCCGGTGTCCTGCAGAGTTTAGCTCCAACCCCAATTAGACACACCTGAACCAGCTAATCAAGCTCTTACTAGTCATACTAGAAACTTCCAGGCAGGTATGTTGAGGCAAGTTGGAGCTAAACTCTGCAGGACACCGGCCCTCCAGGACCGAGTTTGGGCACCCCTGCTTTAAAGGGACTGTTTTCTATTTGAATATGTTTTTTTAAAATGTAATATATTCCTCCAATTGGAAACTTGAATTTATAGCAGCAATTACTCGAGTCTTCAGTGTCACATGATCCTTCAGAAATCACTCTAATATTCAGCATATTCGATTTGGTGCTAAAGAAACATTTATTCTTATTATCAATGTTGAAAACATTTGTGCTGCTTTAATATTTTTGTTGAAACTGTCATACTTTTCTTCACAATGCTTAGATGGATAGAAAGGTCTAAAGAAAAGCGGTTCTTTGAGATCTTTTGTAATATTATAAATACCGTTACTATCACTTTTGATCAGTTGCATCCCTGCTGAATAAAAGTATTAATTTCTTGCAAAGCATCTTATTGACCCCAAACTAATGAACAGTAGTCTATGTATATTTATTTAGCTATTTGTATTATTATAGCTTAAGTTATAAATCATTTATATATTTTGATGTTTTTGTATACTTCTAGTCCTCCAAGCCCAGACTGACTGTCCCATGCTGCTCTATTGTTGATGTGAGGAGCACTACAGCCATAGAGGTGCCAGACAAAGAGAACACCTTCCTTCTACAGGTGCGTCAGCACTGCTCTATTTTTGTCTGTAGTAGTTAGTCAAATCTGCAATAATGATGGGAGAACTGTACCTTAACTTTGTTTTACATATGTAACAAAGATGTTGTTGCCACTGTCATGTGATGTCTCATTAATGGTTATACACAAATACAACATGTTTGATGAGCTTTGTTGATAATGACATTTCACCATACAAAGTGGGTTTTGTTAAATATCACTTCTAGATTTGTTGTATAGATAAATTACGGATGAAAATTTTATATTGTAAATGAATTAAAATATATTTCATGCCTCTTGTTTTAGAAATGAAACTCTTTTGGTGGTTAAAAAGCACCAAGTATATTTTTATACAAATATAATAGAAATCTTATATATTTTATTCAAAATTGTGATTGTGCATCACTTTTGCATCCTGTGTTGTAACACCCTTCTCAAAGATCCATATCATTAAAAAATAACCACGTTGCATATAAGCACATCTGATCTGTTTGTGTTTTTCTCAGTTGGAAGGTCAGGTGCAGTACGTGATCGAGACCAGAGATGCGGTTCAGATGAGAGCTTGGCTTAGTGACATCAGAAATGCCTGTTTTTCTCAGTTGGAAGGTCAGGTGCAGTACGTGATCGAGACCCGAGATGCGGTTCAGATGAGAGCTTGGCTTAGTGACATCAGAAATGCAATTTGTTTGAGGTAAGACTTCGTGTTTTGAATCATTAAAAAAAGTGAAACCACAATGTATATTGAAAGGCTATAATGAGATAATTCTTAGTAGTTTGCTTGCATCTATGGCAATCAAAACTCGGATCTCAAATGCACTCCTTGACCCTTCTCATCAGTGAGCAAGAGGATGTTGAGGGAGTGTGCGGCAGTGCTCTCACCGACCTCAGCAGTACGCCAGAATTCAACGACCGCCTGTCTCAAGGTAAGCGTTTGGAGATGATGTCACCATGATGTGGTCAGCTGCATTCAGGACAGTATGTGTAATGGGACTTGTGCTTGTGTGATGTTTGCCAGTGCTAAAATCAGCCCTCAAATCTCAAACTGCTTAAATAGAGGGGAGCAATTTTGTGATTAACAAGCATTAAAAACATCTGATCCTGAATTGAAATATTTATATTTAGCCGTAAAAATGAATACAAATATTTATCAGTAACTACAGATGAAGATGTATTTGTCATTTGATGTGTTTTCACTGTAGTGTGCTATGGTGGAGTTGGTGGTTCTCCTCAGCTGGAACCTCTACCTCCTGAGTTGCCACCCCGTGCCCCTCTTGATGAATCGGACAGTCGACTGCTTGGTGGGGGAGGAGCCGGTCTTAGCACACCTTTTGCAGAAACTCCTGATGCCACAGGTGCTGTACTACGCAAAACACACACACATATTGGTAGAGACCATGTTGACATCTATGTTACCCTAATCCTGTTTATATTTTAATGCATTTTTTAAAAACATTTAATGATTAAATAGGGCACAGAAGTCAAAGTTTCAATCCAAGTTGCTTATTTAATTTATGTATAAAATAGGAATATTGAGAAAACAATTTGCAAGGAAAGCAGAATTCCCATCCCATGTGTTAAACAAAATCATTACTTACGAAAAAGATATGGACGTTTTAGCCACTGCGAAAGCCATTGTTGCTATTTCATTAAAGTCAGCACGAAATAAAAATTCACCCTATTTATTTTCTAAATGCATCTTTTTGATCACATTTTGAGCTATTCATTTGTGCATATGTTTTGTATATTTTTTGACTTTGTAATTCTTAATTAAAATAACTAGATCATCAAATGAAATAACAGACTTCTCTCTGGCGATGTATGCTGTCTGCCCTGTTTTTTTTTTTCTTCCTTTTTTCGATAATCCGTTTCAATTGGATCTGCTTCACTTGGATCATAACTTTTGTTTCATTGCGAAGTAAATAGAGATGCTATGCAGTGATATTGATCCCACTTTGTCTTCTCTGAGAAAATTATTTTGTAACATGGCTCATCTGTTTTTTATGCGGTTTTGCAAAATCCAGGTAAAAACACTATGGACAAAAACATTGGGACACACCTCTTAATAACTGAATTTAAGTGTTTTAATCAGACACAAACATTTGTGGGAAAAATGGATTGTTCTGAAGAGCTAAGTGAATTCAAGTGTGGTACTGTGATGGGAAGCCACCTTCTCAATATGTCAGTTCGTGAAATTTCTATGCTGCTAGATAGTCCACAATCAGCTGTATTATTGGCAAGTGGCAGCATTTAGGAACAGCAGCTTGAAGTCATAGAGCGGGGTCATCAGGTGCAGAGGCGCATGGTTTGTAAAAGTGGCCAATGCTCTGTTGATTCAATAGCTGAAGAGTTCCAAACTTCCACTGGCATTAATATTAGCACAAAAACTGAGATTGCAAGCCAGGCCTTCTGGTCCAACATCAGTGGCTGACCTCACAAATGCTCTACTGGATAAATAGGCAAAAAGCTGTTATAGCTATCAAGGGGGAAACAGCTCCATATTAATGTCTATTGGAGCTTTTCCACTGCGTGGTACGACTCGGCTCGGCATGGCTCAGTACGGTATGGCACGGCTCGGTCTGCGTTTCCACTGCAGTTTAGTACCGCTTTAGAGTGGGCGGGATTATTAACATGTCGTTATAGTTGCGCCGCCTCTACTGCCGCGACTCCTGAAAAAGTTTTTCATTCCACGTCGCCCCATCAAGCTCTCGCTGGATCTGCTCCTCTGCTATCAACAAGAGGAACATCTGTACTTCCTCAACAGACAACGAAACAGCCATTTTTGGTTGTTAAAAAAAGGTGCGCTCGTTCAAAACAGTTGCGTTCGATCCTTCGCTGGCTGTGCTGATTTAAATCTAGCGGTTCTGTTGTGTCTCGTGTCGCAAGTTCAGTGACGCAGGTAGTGACGATTCTCTCCGGCCAATCCGTGATCAGCAGAGTTTACACGTCACGTTTTGGTAACGGTACGGTTCGCTTGGAACCTCAACCGAGGTGGTACTGAAAAAAGTACCAGGTACTGTACCCAGTGGAAAACCCCCCAAAAGTGAACCGTACCGAACCGTACTGTGCCGAACCATGCAGTGGAAAAGCGCCATATGTGTTTAGAATGTGATGTCATTAAAGTCCCTGTTGGTGTAATGGGCAGGTATCCCAATACTTTTGTCCATATAGTGTGTAGAATGGAATCCCAGCTACTGACATTAACTCCGAGATCAGAGGTATTCAGTTTGTTCCTTGTTTTCCACAGGGTCGTTCCTGTTCTCTGAAGGTTCTGTTTCAGAGACGGTGGAACATCCTCTGAGTGAGTGTCAGTGGTTCCACGGTACACTCTCCCGTCTTAAGGCAGCCCAGCTGGTGCTGGCGGGCGGCATGGCCAGCCATGGAGTGTTCCTTGTGAGGCAGAGTGAGACACGGCGTGGGGAGTATGTCCTCACCTTCAACTTCCAGGGCAAAGCAAAGGTAAATGCCAATGGGGGTGATTATTTACACTACTGTTTAAAAGTTTGACGTCAGTTTAAAAGTTTGGAAAGATTTTTTTTTTGGTCATCAATGCTGCATTTATTTGTTTAAAAATAAAGATATTGTGAAATATAATTAAAAATATATATGAATGTAAGTATAATATATATATAAAATTGTTACTTTCAAACTTTTGAGTGGTAGTGTAGTACATCTGATGAGGAGTATCAATATGTGTTTGTCTCAAAACCACATACCTCTTCCTTCTGCTCTGGCATCTTCCTCTCAGCACTTGCGTCTCTCCCTGAACGAGGATGGACAGTGTCGTGTGCAGCATCTCTGGTTCCAGTCCATTTTTGACATGCTGGAGCATTTCCGTGTGCACCCCATTCCCCTGGAGTCTGGGGGTGCCTCTGATGTCACCCTCATCAGTTTTGTGGGGGCCACTAATGTCCGGCAACCAGGTATGGAAGGCTGGGCTCAACTTTAAGGCGTGAGGGTTTACAACAGAGCCTAGATAACAGTCAAATGCTGCATTTTTAGTTGCCAGATAATTTGTGAGTGCACAGGCAGGTTAAGTGATCACAGGTGCTATTTGCATCTCCCTCAGAACAGCTGAATGGATATAAATACACTGACTATATTTCCGAGACTTGTTCAAATATTAAAAATATTTAAAGGGCCATGAACTGCCTTTTTTATTTTGAACTATTCTCTAAAGTCCATTTATAATGTTATCAAGCTTTGTACATCAAAAAACATAATTTAGAAGGAAATTAGAGGTAATGTTTTCTGTTCTGTTTTCAAATCAAATCAAATGTTATTTATATAGCACAAATAAAAACAACAGTAGTTGACCATTGTGCTGTACAAAAAGTCAAAGGATAAATGGTCTGAATACTTTCCGTACCCACTGTATATATATATATTTAAAACACACACACACATGCATATATGGGATATCAGTCTGGCGAGTAAACTAAAAAATGTACTAGCCAATGGCGATTCAATTGCCAAGGTGTCCGTAGAGGGTTGCTAAACAAGAGACAGAAGAGAATAAAAAGACAGCAAAGCAATGATATAGGGAGTTTACATCAAAAACACCACTGAGAAAATTCAACTTTAAAAATCAAAGACAGTTGTAAGCCTGAAAGAAAATGTATGTTTTTAACGCTGGAATCAGAAGGAAGGCAATGCAAAGACTGTTTTTGCACAACCGGGCACTGCACAGCATCTTGTTTTATTCGGAGCATCTTTATCATTTGGTTTCTGTGTAGACCTGTGTTTCCCTCTCGTTACACTACATGTGCAAATCGGTGGGCGGGGCTAAAGAGGCAGTGATGTAGAAGCAGGCGTTGATCTTCTTCGTAGGCAGTGCTTATCCACACTATTACATCAAACAGCGGTACATTCCACTGTTGTTTTGGCAGACTGGCTTCAATATAAGCTGTTTTTAGACTAACAACAAAGTTTTGAATTCTGAAACTTACAGGATGTTTATATAGTACAATCTTTTCTGTCAAAAGATCAAGGGAATTTTGATTTCTCAGTACATGACCCCTTTAATTATAGTTATATTACAGCAGCTGTAAAGCAGCACTGGGAGTTTCATTTTATGTTTGTTGAATAAAACCACAATGGAAAGGTTGTCATCCTAATGTTAACATTTTTTAGTGACTGGAGTATCCACATTACTGCTAAACAAATATAGGAAATATAAAAAATAACACATTGTTTATTTGACTAATTGATATTTTAGACACTGAATTATACAAAGGGTTTTTAAATGTATAAGTGTTAATTTTTTTAAGCAATTGTTGTTAGCATTTATATAATTTGACAATTTAATAATTCTTTTCTGAGTTATTTTTAAAAACTTCTCAGACACTTCAAAGCTGATTGAAGAGATTTGAAGTACAAGTCTGTAGCAGAGCAGCCATTTTAAACGATGGAGAAAGACCCTTTTTATAGGTTATTTATTTATAAATGAAACCCAGATGATATATTTTGCAAAAGGTAAAGTCATTTGCATTCTTAACATAGTGAAATTCAATTATTGATCTGTGAATCACTGCCATGCATAGAAGTGTTAATGCATACACGAGTCTGGACCTTCACACCACATGTGACATAACTATCCATAAACTATGACTCAAGTTGTTTTACTATTGAATTACTATATCAAATGTTATCATATGTTTGCATTTCCTGTGCATTTTATACCATTTCAGAAATATTGACTTGTTCTTGTGAGTGAGAGTAGTATGATTGCATTAACTATGACAAAGTGATGCAATTAATCACATTATTTTAATCAGTTGACAACCCTAATATAGACATAAATGTTAAGTTAAACAGCTGTTTTGGGGGAGATCCTGGTGGGCCCATAAAAGGAAAAAAATAGCAAGAAATATTCTGTCCTGTCAGTTTGATTGTCTTGAAGCCTGGGCAGATTTTAGTGACGCACACATTCTTTGGCACTGAGCTTGTCTGTGTCATGTGAGTGGGATGAATCTGGAGAGTGATCATATGTGTATTTGTGTATGCGTGTATTCATAAACAACATGGCCACTGCATGAGTTGTTCGCACCTGTCACAGGGATATGACTAAATGTGGGATCACCCCGTGTGTGAGATCACTTCCTGTCACGGCATGCTTTTTAAAGGACACTTTGTGCAAGCATCTGCTACGACTACTCGAGCACACAGATCCATCGCGTCTGCCGTCGGCTGGCTGTGCATGGCTTTGCTTTTGCTTTTTGACAATGATTGTGTCTTGATTTAATTTTTCTGTGCTTGACCTGACATATTACCCCACTAAACTCCTCACCTTACCTACTATTTCCTCCTCATGTCCTCCATCCTGTATCTCCTTTTCAACACTTTCTGTCTCCTAGACACTAGTGCATCTTTTCTCCTATTCTTCTTCTACTC